CTTTGGAGAAGGGAGTACGCCAAGGATGCGTTTTATCTCCCTTATTATTTAACATCTATTCGGAGTTCATAATGCGCAGAGTTTTGGATGGTTGGGAGGGAGGAGTAAACCTAGGTGGTGTTAAGATATCTAACTTGCGTTTCGCAGACGACACTACACTTCTAGCCTCTACTCCAGAAGAAATTACTAGATTATTAAAAAAACTCGAGGTAGAAAGTGCTAAATTTGGACTCATGGTTAACTACAACAAAACCAAAATCATGGTTATTGATCGCCAACAGTTTCCTGAAACCCAAACTATTGCGGGATGCGAGGTAGTCTCATCTATGATATATCTTGGAGCTCTAGTTAACAAAACAGGCAGTTGTGAATCCGAAATTAGAAGACGCATTCAACTAGCAAGAGCAGCAATGAGTGAACTAAACGGGGTCTGGCGTGATCGTCACATTCCTGTGACAAACAAAAAGAGACTCGTTTCAACTCTGGTCTTTTCCATATTTTACTATGCATGCGAGACATGGACAGTCAAAGAATCAGATCGACGACGTATAGACGCCTTTGAAATGTGGACATGGAGAGGCCTGCTTCGAATTCCATGGACGGCTCGCCGTACAAATATCTCGGTTCTGGATGAAATTAAACCGGATCAACGTCTCTCCAGTACCTTTTACTCTGGAATTTTAAAGTTCTTTGGCCATATCCATCGAAGTGATCACAAAATGGAGCGGTTGGTGGTCCAAGGAAGGCCTCAGACTCAACGCCAACGCGGAAGATCTCCACAGCGATGGGCGGACATTACTAAAAAGCTTCTCAATAAACAGTATACTGAGGCAATACATATAACTGATGACCGCGAACAGTGGAGAAATAGTATCAATCAAACTGTCCGAGCTGCTGAAGCCCAATTATGAACCACAACACATCTACTAAGATGTTAATGACTGTGATGATGATGATGGAATTGGTCCAACGGAGGTGGAAGCTGATCTTGCAGCTCTTAGGTTCTGTCTCACTTCGGAAAGAATTATTTACCTACAAAAATCCGTTGCCTGTTCCGTTGCCTCTTCAAAACGAAATTTTCAAAATATGACGTGTTCTCTGCGACTAAAAACCTCAAATTATTATAGAGATGACAACTTTAGATTGGTTCTGATTAATATTTGAAAACAGATGAATTATTTTTGTTTCTAAAGGAATTAGGATTTCCTCGATATTTGCGGTTACCGAGCACTGGCTTGAAGTTAACGAGCCTTTTTTTGTAGAAAAATATACCAGAATTGCTAGGTATGATCGTTCAAGTTCAGCTTATGGTGGCACCCTAATTCTTTTTACAAATAATGATTTCTCTCCTATGATATATGAATAACAAAATATGACTTTTTGTTGAATGAATCCTTTTTTTAGTTTTGACTGGTTTATAACAAGAATCTTAATCTATACATTCTTTGAATTTATAGATCACCTGATTTTTCCACGTAACTATTTGTTCCAGAACCTGTTAAATTTGTTAGACGACCTGCTCAATAAAAGCAGAAAGATTATATGCGGTGACTTGCCCAATTATGCTTGGTCAATATATTCGGATTGCATGGTTTCACCATGCACGTTAATACTTTTTCCAGAGCTAGATTAAATAGCATACAGGAGAGTGGGTCTCCCTGACGTAGACCATTATTTGTATTAAAAGGTTCAGAGAGTTCTCCCTGGATTCGTACTCTGCATTCCACTTTTTCAAGGGTTAGTTCGGTTAAACTTACCAACTGATTTGGTACTCCTAGGTCTATCATTGCTCTAAACAATTCTCTTCTATTTATAGAGCCGTAGGCTGCCTTGTAGTCTATAAATATGTGGTGCGTGTTTACACCGTATTCCAGTGTTTTCTCTAGAATTTGCTTAGGGTTAAAATCTGATGAATTGTTGATTTACCGTTGATTTACCCGTCTGAAACCAGCCTGGTATTGTCCTATTATTCGCTCTGCATACGGTGCCATACGATGGCATAGTATATTGGAGAATATTTTATACGCTGAATTTAGGAGCGTAATTCCTCGATAGTTAGAGCATTCGAAGATATCTCCCTTTTTGTGTATGGTGCAAAGTATTCCAATATTCCAATCACTGGAAAGGGACTTCTGTATCCATATTTCTTTTATAAGCTGCTGTAGCGCTATTATGATATTGTCGCCACCTTCTTTATATAATTCCACTGGGAGATTATCTATTCCGGGTGATTTGTTTCTGGCTAGTTTGTTTACAGCGTCTTGAACTTCCAGGATCGTTGTTGGATTCTCCTCCCTCTCGTCTGCTCCGCCTACCTTACAGCTTTCGTCTTCCGGGTTTTCTTCTTCTTCCTCTATATTAAGTATCTGGTTAAAATATTCCGTCCATCGATTTAGTACGTCTGTTCTTGTTGTTAATAGATCGCCATTCAAACTTCTACATTGATTTGTGTTTGCCTTGAATTCTTTTCTGTTGATGTTAACTTTCTTATAGAATGTTCTGAATTCTTTCTCCTTGTTGAGGTTTTCTATATATTGAAGTTCCTTTTTAAAGTGGTTTCGTTTCTTCATTCTGTGTATTTTCTTTTCTTCTCTTCTCTTTGTCTGGTAACTCTCTACACTTGTTCTAGTCCGGCGGGTAAGCATTTTTGCATAAGCTTCATTTTTTTTCTGTGTTGCGTCTTTGAATTCATCGTCAAACCAGTAATTTTTTCGGGTACAAGTTTCTGTTCCTATTTCATCTTGTGCTGCTGACTCAATATCTTCCTTTATTGTGTTCCAGTAGGAGTCTATATCTCTCTGGTCTTCTTCGCTTGTACTTTGATTTCTTAACCTATTGGTAATTTTTGCAGCAGTTGCATCTCTCAGCTTCTGTACATTCCATTTCTTTGTATCTATTTGTTTTCTTTGTTGGAATTTGAAATTCTAGCCCTTGATGTTGAGATCACTAAACAGTGGTCTGAATCTATGTATGCGCTTCTATAACTTCTGCAGTTCATTATGTCCGTTCCGTGTCTTGAATCTATTAAGATGTGATCAATCTGACTAGTTGTTCTTCCATCAGGGGAGGTCCAGGTTACCTTGTGTATATTCTTATGTTGAAAATAGGTGCTAGCGACGGTCATGTTCAGTGCTACTGCTAAGTTTATCAGTCGTAATCCGTTATCGCTACTGATGTTGTGTGGGCTATGCCTGCCTATGGTCGGTATAAAAAGTCGCTCTCGTCCTATTCTTGCATTCATATCACCTAGAACTATCCTGATGTCATTTCTGGGGCATCTTCTATAGGCTTGTTCTAGGTCTTCGAAAAACTGTTCTTTAACATTTTCTAGTTTGTCGTCGGTCGGGGCATGTGCATTAATTAAACTGTAATTAAAGAATTTACCTTTTAAGCTTAAATAGCACATTCTTTGACTGTAGGCTTTAAAATCAATAACTAGCCCTTTTGTTCTTTGGTTTACTATAAATCTCACTCCATCTATGTGTTAGTTTTCATTGCAGCTGTAATATATGGAGTGGGTTCTCTTGTCAAGAATGCCTGTTCCCCTCCATCGCATTTCCTGTAGTGCTAAAACATCTAGTCTGTACATGTTCACTATGTCTAGTAGAGATGCGAGTGCTCCAGCTCGGTACAGGGTTCAGGTGTTCCACGTTCCTAATCTTAATTCCATTTTTCGTTTGCAGAGTCGTCGTCGTAAGTTCCGTCCGGCTAATAGTTCTTGAGGTTCCGTAACATATGATTTTTGCAGGAAGAGGTTGTTAGCCTCTAGCCTAACCCCCAACCTGGAGGGCCAGGGACTCTGTTGGGTTGCCATACCAGTCTGTTTTAGTTCACGGGTGGTATTTTATTTCCCACCTACTCGCCAGTCCTAGAACTGGTTAGGGCGTTCCCCTATCCACCACCTGGGGACGCGTCCGATGGACGACAGAGAACATCCACACGGAATCATGACTACTCCACCAGAAATTTGCAGAGTTTGGTGACTTCTTCTTTAATAGTTGTCATTTTGGGGTCTCATGCAATCGTCTGGTTTTAGACGTACCATGGAGCATTAGTTATTACTTGGAGAATGTTGGATTTGAATCTTTCAAGAATATCGATACTAGATATAGCTGCTGTTCCCCATAGCTGAACTCCGTAGCTTCAAATTGGTTTCAAAATTACTTAATATATTAGAATTTTGTTGTCGATTGATAGTTTTGACTTCCGGCCTATTAACCAGTATATTTTGCTGAGTTTAAGGCCCAGTTATTTTCACTTAGTAAAGATGTGCTTTCTCGATGTGAACCTCCGATCCAAATACTTTCTTAAATATTTTGTCGTTTTTGTATGGCAAAGGTTGACCGGTTAACGATACCAAATAACAGTACTCCTTACGGTTTGTAAATAATATCTGCGCAGATTTTGCTTCGCTTTCACGTAAATGCCGCGTTTTTTTAACCAAGTTTGTTTGCAGTTAGGTTAGCCTGGACTCTGTGTAATGCTACGACTTTTGTTTTCATGAGAAGATATTACTGCTGTGTTATATGCATAAGTTGCTCTTCTGACTTCTGGTGATGTGTCTAACAATAAATATCAGGTACAGCACTTGAACGAGTACACTGATTTTTTGATTTTTTGATTTTATAGATAACACCAGTATGTCAGACCTTATCAAAAATGCTTAAGAAGATTCCAGAGCAGTATATTCTGTAAATTCAGTTCTTTTCTGTAGTAAGGCCAAACTCGTGATGAGATATTATTTGTTTCTCAATTAAAATTTGCTTTATTGTGGATATTAAAAAAATACATCATTTTACACAATTCTATTATATACTCGTAACTAGGTATCTTTCGATTTTCTATTTAAAAAATTATTCTTAATGCATGAAAAGTATCAATTGGCGAGTTTGCGTTTTTTTCTCACAATTCTCCACATTCTAAGAAAATGTAGGGACAATATACAAAACTAATAATAATATATAATAAATATATCAAAATATATACAAAATTCTACTTACTTTTGTAGCATCGAAATTTGCGGCTCCTTTCAGATCTGGGCAAGAAGCACCACGAATTTTACCATGTGCAGCTGCTACCAGTACACAAATTACTGCTACTAAAATACTCATTTTCTTATTTATATTGGGTTACACCTATTAAAAATGATTAATAGTATAGTTTTTAGTAAAATATATGGGGTTTTATATATATATATTCCATACTGATATATCAGTAATAGTTGAGAAACAATAATCTAAATTGCTCAATAATGAAAACCTATAAGTAAATTTATTTTGTTTTCAAAATAAGTACCACTTTAACGTAATGATTAATCTACATTTTTTTTATTTTTTACATCTCTCTATATTTTTTTCTCTCTATAGCTAGCAACTAGATAAATCAAAATGTTATGTTTAATAGAAAAAATGGCCTTAAAATATTCGATAGTTACAAGGTATTAAACGAGGTTCGATGTTAAAAGTCTTTCATATGTTGTAAGTCCTGTATTCGGTATGGGCGGCCTACGTTTATAAGTCAAAAGACAATAACGAGTAGAAATAGGTATTACTGGTTTCAACACCAATTTATTAGTACTCCTCGGAAATACTCCTCTCCTCAAGAGTACCTGAGTACCTGAAAAAACGTCCCACATAGGCCAAAATGATTTACTTTACTTCAGTTTACAAGCACTTATGTTAATTTCTCTTGCTCACGAAAAGGTTGCAAAAATCTAGTAAAAAAATAATGTAAATAAAATGAAATGAAAATGTTTCAATTTCCACCACTACCAAATATTCCTTCTGCAGTTTTAGACCCGTCTGTATACAAGGTATAATCCTATCTATATAATATGGGTCGAGCGTTTCCTCTACCCTATCCCTCTCGTGCAAATATTCACTGAGAAAGATACTTTAGGCCTATATATGGGTAGCGTATGGTCATAAATCATTATATATTAGGTATTACTAACTTCATTTATGATGTTACTGTTCTAATCTAACCGGTAAGTTGCTCAGGTTTTCTCGCAGTCTATAATATTCCATTCTCACCTCCCTCTTATAATTATGTCTAAAGCAAGGAGATCCAGTAGGGCCTCCATAGTTGCTGTTGGTGTGTTTCTCTTAGCCCCTGTGATTCTAAAGCAAGTAAGTTCCTGCTTCCTGCTAAATTTGATGATGGCATATTTTTGCTGCACCTTTGGCCACCATACCACCGATGCATATATTGGTTTTATTACCATGTTATGAATCCAATAAAGCATGACTGGTTCTAATCGCTACATTTTTTCGTAAGTATTACTAGCTACCATTAACGTAGTTACCGCTTCAATTGATAATTCGTTCTATTTGCTGATTCCAAGCAAGCATCGAGTCTAATAGTACCCCAAGATATTTTATTTTACTCAACCGATTTAAATGTATATCATCTATATTTACAGGACTTAATTCTTTTAACTTCCTTCTTTTGATATATTTCATTATTTTGGAATTTTGAATATTTGGACTAAGCCCTACATTTAAAGTCCATTATGTGACTACAGTCAGAGCCTATTGCTTATTTTATACTTTCACCCTATATGATGTTCATTTATACCGTCGTTAAATTTCTGAAACAAGAATTAATCAACGGCAGTATTTTGATGTGTCGTTTGACTATATATATGTTCTCAGGACTTTGACAGATCGACTGTATAAGCTACCGACCAATGCCCGATAGACTTTTTATTTTATCCTTAATAACCCAGGGCTTGGATCAAAGCTACATTAAATCTACTCATAGTAACAGTAAATTCTGCTAAAGCTGCCTTTCCATACTGTAGGTTCGCCTACAGGTCTCTGATTGGAGCCATCGGGTCTCTGATAGTTTTAAAGGGTACCTTTCCAAGTCTGTAATATGCTTTAACATGAGTAGCTCTCAACGCTTTCTAGGAGAACTCCCATTTTTCGATTTTTTAACAAGCAGTCTACCATTTTAAGGTCTAGATTTTGTCTCCTTAGACACTCCCTCCATAGTGCTCACAACGTTAGTAGTTTATTTTTTGTATACTCATTAGCACAGTTCACTAACAAGATCCCAGCATGTCTTTTCATATTTTCTAGAACTGTAAAAGTTGATTTTGACTTCCTGTAGGAGTCTCATCGATTGCTCGTTCTAGTTTTTTACACTCAGGATGGTGGCTGCATGTTACCTGAATACTTTAATGACATTGCTATTTGCCGGTACTTCCGCATTGGTTTTATGCCTCTTTCGTTATCTTCCTTTTTTGAGCTCCAGTTATGTGTTTTTGGATACTTGGTGCAGAGACTCTTCTTGTGAACTCGAATCCGTGACTTGAATTTCCTCTCTAATCATTCCAGTTGTGTTTATAATTACTGTTAGTTTACAAGACTTATTTATTTCTGAGTATCATTCTGAGCTTCACTAGTTTTTTATTGCACACAAGCTATAATTATCCAGAATTCGCCACATCTTTGAAGCATAACTTTAGGCAAACCTTCTTCCCTTGTATCATACGTCCCCTGGGCACGATGTTACATTTCAGAATTATGGAGTGCAGTAGTTACAGAAGGAGCATAGTAAGTTGCACAATATTGTTCCTCTAAAGTTGCAGTTTCTTATTTATGTTTTAGTGTAAGTTTTTTTTTGGTTTTTCTACTATTTTTAACAGATATATGTTTAAAAACGTTACTAAGGATATAAGACAAAAATGGAACGATTTGATAAACAAACTTGACGAGGATATATCACTTAACTCTTACAAATTAATATAAAGGCCACACAATTATTTTTCAAAAAAAAAACAATAAAAGCCGCAAAAAACTGTCAAACATGCTATACCTTTTACGTTAATGAAGCTAAATATAGCAATGAAAGACAAGAAGAAAACGGAAGCATCTGGACTCTGACGATTCTTCTTAGAGTGCCATCTCCATAAGGAGGTTGGTAATCATAATGGATTTTTTTTACAATCGATCTGCGTTAATAACAATCACATAAATTCTTTAAGCAAGAGTTCTTCATCAGATCTTTGTCCTTGAATCATCATGTGGCCTAGTTATTCTAGTTCTTTTGTTTGTATAGTGGTGAATACTTCTGTTTCTTTACCAACCCTGTAAAGTACGTATTTTTCTTTATTTGTAATTCTATCAGTCCATGATATTTTAATACTTTCTTATATATTTTGAGTTTAAAAGCCTCGATTCTCTTTAAATTGCGTTTTTTTAATGTCCAAGTCCCAGCTCTATACAGGGTGAGTCATGAGGAACTTTACATACTTCTACCATATGTAGAGTCCCTCAGGGAGCATATCATGTGGCCACTAAAAAATGTCAACTCCTCTTCTTTATGAATTAACAGGGTGATTTGTGTAATTGACCATTTATTTCATTTTACTGTAGTGTTTATACGGCTCATTTGATTTTTTAAATTCTTGCATGATACAGTACACTACTATCAAGCATTCGACTGGTATTAGCTAAACTAAAAAATTTCAGGACTGGCTTTGGAAAAATTAATTCAGGGATTCGTATTAAATATTACACCCTGTATATAATATATATATATATAATATATATATATATATATATATATATATATTTAAAATGCAATAAGTGATTTTCAAACTACATAAATAGCCAATGAAAACGACATATGCGACAATGTTGTCACACTTTTATTAAATTTTTAGTGAACGATCAAATCTTACCAAAAATAGAACAATCATAATGAAGTATCAAATTATAAGGTAATTAATTTAAACAAATGTTATAAATTTCAAATATTTTAATTGATAATGATAAACTGAGTCACTGCACAACAAAAAACAGTAACTACTAACAATAACGAAGAAAAATTTAAAAAAAAAACTGAAAATATGTACATAGTTATGATAAACCCATAAATTAGAACTGGAAAAGATACAATAATGGTAACAAAATAAAACTAATTCAAAACAGATTTTCGAAATGGAACCCTGCAGCCTGTACACATTTTTGTTGTCGAATTGTTAATTGACGTATTGAATTACGGATACTCTGGGGATCGTTTCTAATAGTATTACAACAATATATAATTCTATCAATTAATTGTTGTCGGTTATTAATATTCACTGCGTAAACTAGTTGCTTCAATCGTCTCCAAATATGGTAATCAACGGGATTGAAATCAGGGGATCTTGAAGGCCACGAAATAGGACCTGCACGTCCTATCCACCTGTTGCCATAAACATTATTGAGATGTTGTCTCACTGCTAGTAAAAAGTGTGGGGGTGCCCCATCATGCTGAAAATACATCCATCGGATAGCAACGTTCGCGTTGGCAAGCAAATTCGGCAAAATATTTTGTAGAAAGTTCAAATAGACCTGCTCTGTTAAAGGACCATCAAAAAAGTGAGGACCTACTAATTGGTTTTAAATGACACCAATCCACACGTTAACCGAAAACCTTAACTGAGAACGACGTTCTCGAATAGCATGGGGATTTTCTTCTGCTCACACATGTGAATTTCGTGAATTATTTATCCCGTCTCTGGTAAATTGGGCTTCATCTGTAAATAGTGTCCTGTATAGCGTTGGTCGATTATTGTTAATCCATCTACAAAATTCCAACCTATCGATCTCATCTCCAGCATGTAGTCGCTGAACCATTTGAATGTGATATGTGTATAGATTATTTTTTTGTAAAACTCTACTTACTTTTGATTGAGTAACATTGAGTTCTCGACTTACTTGTCTAGTGCTTATTGTAGGGTTCATAGTAACGGCGTCCATAATGTCATCTTCCTGCGCTTCATCTACATGTCGCTCTGTTGTTCCACTAGGAAAAGTGCCATTTTCTCGCAAATAATTAAAAACTGACTCAAATGTTGGATGACTGGGAGTTCGACGATTAGGAAATCTACTGCGATATTCTCTACTAGCAGCCCTACCATTCCCATTATAGAATCCATAAACAAATATTATGTCTGCATATTCTGTGGTCGAAAACTGATATGGCATTTTGAACGAAAGTAACAAAAGCTCTACCAAAACTAACACAATGTACTTAACGTAGATATGACAGAAGAAATATGTATTCTTGTCATCGAGCAAAAAGATAAAAGAGGGAATCTAATCGTTATGAAAAGGAGACCAAAAAAGTGGCCTCTGATGGCGGACATATCCGGAAATGCAAAGGCGCTAAATTTAAATTTTCCAACACTTATTAACAATAG